ATCTGTCTCATATACAATCTCTCAATCTCTCTCAAAATTTCTCTCACACACAATCTGTCTGTCTTTCACACACACTCACACACACACTCACACACAGCCTCTCCCACAATCACTCAGTCTCAGTCTCTTAGTCTCTCACACACAGTCTCTCACATCTCAGTCTCTCACAATCGCTCTCACACAGTCTCTCTCTCTCTCACAAAATCTGTCGCACACTCTCTCACACAATCTCCTTCATACACTCTCTCACAGTCTCTCTCACATAGTCTCACATACAGTCTCATACAATCTCTCACACACACAATTTCTCACACAAGCTCTCACACACACAACCTCTCTCGCACACACACAACCTCTGACACCCACCCTCTCTCTCACACACAAACTCTCACACACACAACCTCTCTTGCACACACACACTCTCACAATCTCTCTCGCATACACACAACCTGTCTCACATACTCTCTCTCATACACACAACCTCTCGCTCTCACACACACAACCCCTCTCATACACCTCTCACACACACACAACCTCCTTCGCACACACACACACTCTCACACATAATCTCTCACACACAACCTCTTGCACACACACCTCTCTCTCACACACAACCTCTCTCACACACACAACCTCTCTCGCACACAACCTCTTTCGCACACACACTCTCTCACACATACAATCTCTCTCACACAACCTCTCTCTCTCACACACACTCTCACACACACAATCTCTCTCACACACAACCTCTCTCTCTCTCACACACAACCTCCCTCTCTCACACACACAACCTCCCTCTCTCACACAACCTCTCTCACACACACAATCTCTCTCTCACAATCTCTCTCTCACACACAACCTGTCTTGCGCAGACAGAACCTCTCTCACACACACAATCTGTCTCTCACACACAACCTCTCTCGTGCACACACACACTCTCTCACACACTCTCACACACAACCTCTCTCTCACACACACACACTCTCACACACACAATCTCTCTCTCACACACCTCTCTCACACACATCTCTCTCACACACAATCTGTCTCTCACACACAACCTCTCTCGTGCACACACACACTCTCTCACACACACTCTCACACACAACCTCTCTCTCACACACACACACTCTCACACACACAATCTCTCTCTCACACAC